GAGCTTCCGTGTCTCTTCAATGACCTTTTCCTTCATGGAACCCAAGTGCACCAGCTCTTGTTCGACCTCGTCTCGGAGCAATGAGAAGCCGTCTTCCTTGTCAATCACGCCAAGATCCTGCAGTTGGCTGAGCAGCTCCATGCTACGGATACCCTTCTTGACCATGACAGAGTCGTTCTTGGTCGTGGCAGCTGCTTCCGCAATCCTGTCGAGGCGCAATGGCCGTCGCGTGATGGAAGTGTTGGAAGGAAGCGAACGAAGGATCATGACGAATGTCGACTTGGCTTCCATGAAGAAGATCTCTTCTTGCGTAATGTCGAGCGCTGCGGTCAGATCGTCAAGCGGGGTTTCCCATTTGCTGAATAGCGGGAGGTTGATGGCTCTGTTCTCTTTTCGGGGAAGCTGTGCTGGAGCGGATCCGAGCTCGTTGAGAATGACGCCTAGATGCGAGCTGTCTTCTTTGGCCTGGTTTTGTTAGTACGGCAATGCGCATGGATGTGTGATTGCTTACCAGTTCAGCTGCATGTCGCTCCAAGAGCGAGTGCGTCGCATACACTTCGTTCAGGGTAATCGAGAGCTCTAGATCTTTCTTAGACAGAGCAACGTAGTTGTCCATCTCGAGAGTATCGTAAAAGTCCTGTACCTCGCACAGGTCCAACAGAAACTTGTTGATTCGCTCCTTGTTCTGGTGGATGAATGGCTGCAGCTTGACCATGTATGGCTCCTTGGCATACGATGGCTTATTTGCAAGATTCTGCAGCATCTTGGCGATATACGTTAGTGTCCGCTTGGGGTTCTCTGCTGGCAGTACATCAATGAGCATGTACGATCTTGGAGTAACGATGGCGGGGTTGATGAAGCGCAGGAAGAAGAAGCCTCCGATGAGAGTGCAAATGGTCTGGTCCTGGGCATCAGGGTACTTTCGTCTCGACAGACTTCGAATCTGCTTGCATATCCATCGGATACCGTATGGCGTCTCCTCGAGGCCTTTGATGATGGTTGTGAGGAAGTTGTTGGCAATCTCCATGAGCATGTTGACTCGCGGTGTGATGATGTTCTGTACCGTCTCGTTCTCGGCAGCCTGCTCTGCGGTAACGCCCTTGGGCAGGTTCGCGGGAAGGGTTCCTTGGATCTCAAGCTCAGTGACCATCTTCTCGTATACCTTGAGCGGGTTAATCTCAAGATCGAGGTCCTTCAGCTCGATGAGCGAGTTGATGCTGTCCTGCAAGACGACCTTGAGGTAGCTCTGACCGGGTCCTCGGCGGGTGTAGGTAGTCATCATGCGCGAGACGGGTGTGTTGGCGCGTAGGAGCGAGCTATAGTCTGGGGTGTTGTCGAACTGATACGTGAGTACAGACTGGGCGAGATTAGTTGTGATGCGCAAAGCTGGAGGCGCAACCTACCTGGAACATGGTCAGGAGCAAGTGCTCTTCGCGGCTCTCATACTGGTTTCCGTAGATTGTGAACATGACAGTCTGCAGTAGGGCATCGATCTCGGCCATGGAGACCAGTCGACACAGATGGGCAATATGGCGTGGCTCGGATTGGAGGAGGAAGAGCAGGTTGCCGTACTTCTGCGTCTTCTCGTCGTTGGGAAAGAAGCCTTCCTGGAGTTCGAGGCCGTCTCCCAGGTGGTCGGCGACTTCATTCTGCTGGGGGATAGTCAGTACAGGCGCGGGGTGTAAGCAGCGTTGAGCGCACCTCTTCCAATGCCATGCGGTTCTGGATCAGCAGGGCTATCCGCGAGTCGAGATAGCGCACATCCTTTTCCAGGACGAAGTTCTTCTTGGACTGCGACGAGATCTTGGCCTTGAGTTCGCGGAGTATCTTCTGGGCTGCGAGGGTTAGTTTATTGTAGTATATTGCGAATGAATGGCGGCGTACCTCGGGCCAGGTCATCTTCAATCTCGAGCTCCTTGTCTTTGGCGGACATGGACAGGTACAGGGCTGTGACGGAGTAGCGCTTCGACTGGCGCACCGAGCGCGAGCCATCGTGCGACGACATTGTGTTCTGGCGCGAGACGGGGACGAACGACGACGAGGACGACGTCGAGGCGCGCGAGGGAGCATGCAGCATAGAGACGGCCATGGCTGGTCGGGGGTGTCGCGGCGAGGGCGACGGGCAGGGCGGAGACGGAGACTTTGTTTCTTTGTGTGCGCGGTCGCGGTCGGGCGGGTTGGGTCAATCAGCGACGGCGACGGGGATTGCAGCTACTACGACGGGGGAATTGCAGCGGGAGGGCCCGTCCAGCGAGAGGTCGCGGGTGGTGCAGAGTGCAGCGCAGGGCCGTGGTGTGCAGGCAGCGTGGGTGTTGGTTGGATTAATTTAGGGGGTGCCTCAGTCACCGGGAGTCGCGACGAGGGCGAGGGGTAGCTCAGACGGTGAGTGGTGGGAGACAATGGGCAGGCTGCGACATTCCAGATGGCGCGACTTCCGACTCTGATGTGATGGCAGGAGCGACCGCGACAGTGGCAGTGACGGTGACAGCAACGGCGGGGGTGGGGGATACTTGGTGCGGGAGGGGAGAGTGAAAGTGACTTGCAGGCAGTGTCTACCTAGTACGGTAGAGTAGGAGATGGTCTGAATGGGTGTTTCAGTGTCTTGCAGAGTGGAGAGGGCCAAGCATGTGGAGGCCGCAGGTGGGACGTCAAACGAGGCAGGGGCAAACGGCCACCCACCAGGCTGCGCGCCAGATAGCAAGGCGATGGAGTCGGCATGGGTGCGAAACCGTCGTCAGCTGCTCGCCTGCCCCTGAACGTCCACCTCGACGTGCCTGAAGCAGCAACGTGGTCCGCGCCCAACCGACCAAGCTGGTTCCTGGCTAAGCCCGACTAGCACACGTCAAGCCCGACGCTCTCTACATTGACTTGTAGCCTGCATCTCATCACATGGTCAACATTTGAATATCCCCGACCTTTAGTCCATCCACCCGCGTGAATAACCCGTCGACTTGTGCAGTACCGGAGGCCTTCGCTGCCGACAGCTTAGCACCTTAGCAACGCCTGTGGCGGCGGGCTGCACGAGATGTGGAGGTGGCCAGAGCGCTGGCCTGCCTTACTGCCCGCACAAGTGTACTAGGAAAATTGCCCAGCCCAGCATGCAGTCCGCCCGTCGTCGATGGACAAGGGCATGCCATCGCAAAGTCCGACCCGCCGCCATCGACTCCTACAATCCTACCAGACATGATTACTCTGCATAGATACCGTACATGCAGCATTGCAATCCGTCGTCGATCAACCCATCACCATCTCATCTCGGTCCGATGATCTATGCCATTTGTCCGCCCGCTGCAAAAGAGTTTCGAAACATACGTGGCGCACAGTGCTGCACAACGACGACTATCGCAATGTAATGCTCCAACATCGCTGATAGCCATGTCGTCCTAGCGCCGACGTGATGATCAAATACCGCCATACCAATACAATGCGCCACAAGACTTTTGATCGCCGCGGAACAACTGCCCAAACCGTACTTGCACTTGCTTGCAGAGCCTTGCACAGTGTCTATAAATGACTCCGTCACATTCCCGCCGCCTGTCCATCACCTGCAGCATTCTCATCACGCCATTGCCCCGCTCCGCGTTCGCTTCCTTCAGAACTGGAGATTTGAACTGATCCTGCGGGCAGTCCTGCGACTCATGTCACATGCTTTGGATAGAGTACTTTGGTAGCCGCTACTGGCTGGCGGGAGACAGCATATCCGGGCCTCGTTTACCGTTTACAGTTTACAGTTTACCATTAGATGACCACAAAGCAAAAAGACCCGAAGAAAAATATTGGGGCCAAGGTGAGAGCGCCAATGGAGCCGAATCTCCAATATCTCTAGTGAGCGGCGCTGCATGCACACTTCACACCCTCTTTCCCATGACTATGCGCCGCGCCGTGCCGGGCAATAGAGTGAACGCCTGCGAACCATATAGTACAGCACTTTACACGCATCCATCTCGTACAGTAACGCGACGCCAGAAGAAGACCATGAAAAGAAAAAAACTGCAGTAATAACGAGAAAAAACGGGAAACCGAGAAACCGAAGACTCCACACTTTGCATGCCCATCTCCTCGGTCAGACTCGCTGTGCGGGAAGCATACGGTACCTGGACACCTTGACGCGCCTTGCGCTGGCTGCTCCGCCTGCAAATAGGCCCGTGCGCCCGCGAAAACCATGGGCGATCATGGCGCCGTGGCCGCCAAACTCCTCCACCTCGCATGCACGCGCGCCTGCATGTGCCCTGCGAGTCAAGCGACCTTTTCAGCCCGCCCGTCAGCGCACCACGGCTGCGAGGAGCACATTCACCCCGAAATAGCTGCTTGCGTTAGCCTCGTCATCTATCTCACCAACTGCAGGCAAACCCGCGCGCGCGCGCCTCAGGAACCGGCCAAGGCACCGGATAATGCGTGGGTAAAAAGACGTTTCTGACATGTTTCCGTCCGAAAGCATGTCCTGGAAATTTCCGAACGGGGTGAGAGTTTCTTCGCCCCACGCGCCCGTCTTGCCCGTTTGAGCATGTAGACGTCACGGTGCAGACGTCGACGATATTGCGTCGCGGGCGGGAATTTGAGAAAGAGAGAGAGAGGACTTACACTGAAGCTGCCGCAGCCCACTCACGCGTAGACAGCATATTCCTGAGCTGAGGGGTCGACGTGACCATCTTTAGCTCCGCACCAACGATAAGCACGATAACGAGGAGCCGTCCGAGCAAGCTGGGGACTATCGCAAACGCCATGAGGGGTAGTACCAGGGTTAGTGGAAACCATATTGCTGACTGATCTTGGCCGGCAGCCGGAGCTGCCGTGCTGGAAGGAGAAGAATATGAGGAAGAAGGAACTTTCCGCGGAAGAGTGACTAGGTCGGCGTCTTCCTCGAGAAATTGGGATTCCTCCTCATTAATCGGGTCATGCTCATCCATCCACTCGCGATAGGCTGTGATATCCTCCGCAGACGCGGGATCGAGACTTTTGGAGAGCTTGCTAAACGAAGATAAAGCCTTGTCTGTACCGAGTCAGCGGAACACTCTTGATCGGTAGCAGCGACGATCCCCATGTTGACATGGCGTTCCGACTCGTTGCTTCCGGCTTAGCCACAACTTACTGTATTGCTCTAGCTTCTGGTAAATGCGCCCCAGGAGTTCGGTCCTCTTGAAGTGCATTTCACTTCCGTAGCGTGCATCACCCCGCCGCGACGCAGGGTACGCGTACCCTGACGCATCTCGAGGCGACATCTGGGCTATGCATTCGTCTAGGTGACGCAGCTCTTCTTCGAGTTCGCACGTTTCGTCTTGGAGGTGCAGCAAGACGCGGTGGTTTAGATGCTCAAACTTTCGGTACATGGGCACGAGATTCTTCCGGCCGTGAGAGCTGGGCTGAGTCGATCCGCTAAGCTCGTTGGCGAGGAGTTCATATCCCACCACCGTTTGTCGGGTCTGGTTGGGCAGTGGCGCGTGCTGTTGATAGAGTGGCGGCTGCCCTGGATGTGGGGTGAAAGGTGGCGGCACGTGCTGGAGCTGGCCGTCAGGTGGCCGTATCGATAGTGGATGCGCATGCACTGCTTCCGGGGACTGATGAGGCGCATATCCTATGGCTAGCGGAGCTGGGAATGAAGGCATCGGTGCCCATGCTGGTGGGGAACTGATTGCCGCAGGCACTGGAGCTGGAGATGCACCAGAATAGCCTTGCTGGTTGTACATCGGCATCGGTGGATAACCGTAGGGGTGTTGCTCTGCGCCATATTGGTAGTCTCCGTTCGGCTGTGGCCTTTGGAAGATGTGGCTCGCAAGTTCGCGTTCCTGCTGCTTGAGACGTCTGGCGTGCGGATCACTCTGATGAGACGTCGTCGACGGAGCTCGAGGAGGGGTCGTTACTGCCGGCTGTTTGTTGGGCATCTGGTTTCCTTGATTAACTTCCTCATCGCTCTCTGATCCACTTTCACTCTCCTCTTCACTGCCCTCTTCTTGGTTGGCTTCGACGTCATCCCCAGGGCCATGCACAAAGCTACTGGCGTACAACGGCTTCTTGAATGAACGATAGTCCTGGTTGGGTTGGTGTGATGCTGTCTGGAGGGACCGGCGCGTGGAGGCTGGCGAGGTCATGGCGGAGTCAGGATGCTGTGAATCTGCTGCCACAGATGATCGTCCATCGTCATGCTGAGTGTCACCTGACGAGGAAGAAGATGACGAGGCAACAGTCGACGGAGGCATAGCCTGAAGGTCCGTAGGCGTAGGACTTCCAGGTGTATCTTCAGATTGTAGAAACTGAAACACTCCCGCTTGGGTGGCATCCATGTTGTTGAACGTGATGTTTTGCATCGCCGTGGATGCGGGCGGACTCTGGCTTTCCTTAGACTCTTGGTACTCGGCGACTTGGCTATAACCGCCGTACGGTCTCTGCATCACCGTGGAGTTACTGCCACCCGAAGCATCTGACTGTTGCGTCACACTCGAGACCAGAGAGGGATCTGACATGTTGGCCATATTCCCCGCATGCCGTTGCAGAGAGCTGTGTTTACCACGTGCGTGTGAGCGTTTCGCGGCGTCGTCCCCAGTATGCCGACGGCGGAGAACCCGCGGATCGACCGGAGCACCAACGGCAGAGCTCCCTCGTCGTCTTGAGCGTGTGCTGACCTTACTCTTGCTTTCTCTTATCTGACCGAGCCGGGGCATGTAGCCGACGTTACTGCCCTCCTCATCTAACTCTTCCTGTTTGGCCTGTGAACTCGATCCAGTAGTGTCGGTATGATGTGAGTCGCGTCTTAGAAGCTTCTTCAGAGTGTTGCGAGGCTGTTTAGGTCTCTGCTCGCTCTCGTCATGGTCGTCGCTGCGTGGCGGTGAGGCCGAAGGTGGGGAACCCTTGGTGCCCGAACTGGTGCGTGATGGACGACGTCTAGTGTGTGGTGCACTAGTAGCTGAACTCGTGCCTATGTCATGGAGGCCGTCGTAGTGGTATTTCGGATTGCCTGTGGGAGGACTGCGCTGTCGAGGAGGTGAACCAGCGCCCTCAAAGGCTGCTGCTGCTGTAGGATCCGACTAAGTATCGGAAATATCTACGTCAGTTTCCAAAAGCAATACGGTAGTTCAGGGCAGAGAGAGGCAAAGAGCGTGTTTATATTGTCTACCCACCATGCTACGTATTGTTTACAGGGTCCAGCTGTGTAAGCAGAGCGGTGGCGCTTGCGTCAGTAGATCTGGTACTGGGGGGTGTGCGATGGCGCGGTGCGGGGGAGTGTAGGTGATGGGGTGTGCGGGAAAAAAGATGAATATAGACAGCCCGTGACGTTTTCGTGCGCGATTCCTTGCATGCTGAAGCGATTACAAGCACACGTTGTACGACTCTAGAGGCTGAACGGCACAAGGCTCGCAAAGCGTGTGGATGTCGTGGTACGCCTCAAGGCCTGCTGAATCTGTACCCTGGTGTGCGCCATAACCACGGGCAATGCGGTAGGTCAGAATGTGGAATGGGGAAGACAAAGGAGAACGCATGTTGAACTGGAAGAAGCAACGACACACGAGGAATATTGTGCAGCCACTCAGTCACCGCCTTGCGCATGCATGCTGCGAGTTAACGTTGGCAGAGCTGACCGGGTGTGCACCGGAAGTGCCGCGCGTGTACCCAATGACGTCCCGTTGAGCCCGTCAAGCGATCGGATACCCCACTATGTGGGCCCACCATCACCGCGTGCCCTTTCTTCCTCCACGCTTCCACAGTCTGTCTAATCCGTCGACTCGCATCGTGATGATGCATTTGCATGCCAAACTCTGTCCAGTGGTGAAGCACTTTGCTATTGTTTCGTGGGCGGTTCGTTAACGAGACCATGGTCCTCCGCTGCTCAGTCACTGCCACGTCAACGAGCTACTGCAACTCCGAACCAGGATTGTCGAGCGTGAGCAATACGGTCGGTTCTGCTATCTGGTTCACTCCACTTGCTCGCTCTCGCGTTTCGCATCTTGACTCTTTCCCGTGCTAGGGTTCCTGGCAAAGATCAGGCTTGGGAATTCTAGAAGGAGGGCTTACTCCACGCGCCAAGTTTCAACTTGTCAAGGCGAGTAGATTCGGAGACCGACGTGCTCATGCATGACGTCTTTGGCGTTTCGACGGTATGTCGAGTATACGACGATGTAGCAGAGGTACGACAATGGAAATAGCTGTGGGGAGAGGGCTTTGTCTGGTACTTTTGATGCACGTTGTGTATGGATTGATGCGCAGCTGCTAATGGCGGTCCCCAAAGAAAGGCTTCCAGGTATGTCCATGTCGCCTCTTTGGGTAGACATGCTAGGTTCAGAATTGCTGTGTCCAAATTCTGTCAACGTAAGAGCATAGACACGATATTGAATTTAGGAGGGAAACAGTGGTGTAACTAATTCCTTGCCACTTACGTCTTCGACATGCCAAACATACCTTTGGCCACACATAACAATCGGCTCCCCTCCAGGTCCATCTCGTCGAATATGCTCATCTAGATCCAGATCATATGATCGCTGGTGTTGAAACAACCCCCGCGATTTTGCCTGCCTGACAGGAGCTGAACTTACGATAAAGTTCCGTAGTAACATCATCCACCATAGTGCTGTACGCAAGCATTGTAGCCAAGAACAGGGGAAACGTCGACGCCACGAAAATGGAACGCGTATACCGTTGATCTTGATCGACAAATCTTATTCTTAGAAGTTTCACCCATGCATCTATAGTATCGGACTTATTACCATGCTGAATATATGGTAGAACAAACGTGAGACTAAACATTTTTGAGAGCAAGTAAAAGAGTGGTAGACTATGGAGTGTGATGTGCGCCAACAGGTGAATGAGAAGTCGACACTCCAGGGAAGGTAGAGGTGGCATATAAGAAACGAGCGGGTGATCGATTCCGGGTACGAGAGAACGACTGTGACATTCCTGTTCACTTGGCCGTCCCAAATAGCAATACAGAGATGCCTCTCCTTCGGCTTTTCGAGCTCAATCAAACTAATAGATTCTGGGTATCTCATACTTCTGCATCTACTCCGTCTACAAGCCTCACGACTCCTCGCTCACACTTCGGCTCACTTCCCTCGCAACAAAAGCATCAGGGTCGACCGGAATTGCCTTCAGGTCCACCTTGTGTGTATCTGCCCAAGCCCTTACCCTGGCTTTATTGATGACAGCGTCAGCACCTCCTTTCTTCTTCTGCTCCAGCACGTCCATAGCCTGTAATGTCGCAATGATATCCTCGGGCACAATGTACGTCTTCTCGCGCAGGTCTTGCACTGTAAGTGTTTTCTTAGAAGGGCAAGCCAGGATCGTCCGCGCAAGCGTTTGCGACCAGTAATGTATGTATGCGATGCGACCGAGATCCGACAGCGCTGTAGTAGTAGTAGAGTTAGCAAAGCTACCATACGCGGACAAAACGTCGACCTACGTTTCTCAGGCCCACCCAGCCTCTCCTCTCGTCTACTCATCTCATAGCTCGCGCCCATGAGTATCTGCCCCAGTCCTTGCTTCTGCCACGGCGGAAACACCAGGATGCATGCGAGATTGTTGTTGTCCCAGCTCATCTTCTCTTTGCTGAAGAAGCCCACGACCTGCCCTTGCGCACCGACTCCACTCGCCTCTACATCGTCACCGAAACTGGTGTTTGGTATCTCCGGTGTGGGGTTGTGCGCGACGAGGAGGTAGTATAGGAATGTCGTAACGTCGTAGAAGACGGATTTGGTATCGAGGAAGAGCTTGGCGAAGAGAGATAGGTTCTGTGCGTAGAGCTTGTGCTTCTCGCCGTCGATCTCGTAAAGGGAGTAGTTATCTTTCGTATAAACGTTGACGCCCGGCGGGGGTGTATTGCGCAGAGGACATGCTTTCTGCCACTTATCAGCTTCCTAATCTAACCCTCATACAGTGTTTGTCCATCCGAAAGCTTACCAGATGCCCAATAAACCCGACCAATTCTTTGCTATACTTGAAGCACCATTGGCACACATAAAGCCGCTCTACGCGTCGGCCTACAAGCTCCTCCGGGTAGAAAGACGGGTACCAGGGCTGTATCAGCAGCGAGCCGAAGACGACTTCGAGGACGTTGGGCCCGGACGAGGGTTTCTGCGATGGCTTCAAGGCAGGCGTGGAGGGCGTCGAGGTCATGGAGGCTACATCGGGGGCCATTGGGCTGGCACGGTGACGACGCGTCAAGGGGCCGTCGGCACATGCGTGTGGGGAAGAGAAGAGCTTGGGCCGGGTTGTCACATTGGGTTAGCGCGACGCGAGGGCACGTGGGTGATGGGGATCTGCCGTTCACCCAAGACGATCCGTTCGCCATTACACCTACGACACTTCAAGTCTTTCTTGAATCGCACAACTTTTCCATCACGACGAGCAATAGTGCCTTCATCTCTCCACTGTATCTGCTCGACAGCCCCCGCGACAAGCATAAACGAACGTACTTAACGAAGAGGACTATATCGTCATTCAAGCATGCAGAGGCAGTAGCGCAACATTTGTACATTTCCTGCGACCACGTTCAGCACATCTATCGTGCTTGCCAGCCCCAAACGTTTCTCAGCCTCCGCGATTGTTCGCTATCATAAAGCCCGATGCCCTGCCACCTTTGACCTCCCAACGCGTCTCATGTTCAGTTCCTTCCTACTCATCCTCCGAGGGCTACTCGAACTATAATATCATGCCCTATTCAGCCTTTATTTCCGTACTGGTATCGCTTTTCATATAACGATCACGACCTGGGACCTCTTCGCAGCCTCGAAACGGCAGTATATGTTTGTTGCTGATAGCGCCTGGCTTCAGCCAGTTCGACCCAGCAAGAGGGCCTTGATGTCTGCCCGGTGTTGCGCTCCTCGTCTGATGATTGTCAGTACTCATTACACACCTCAACCTCGTTGTGTTGCTCACCCGCTTCTACACGCTTACGCTGTCTGGATCCCTGGTGCCTTAGCACACCCTCTCGCATGTAGTATCGAAATGCGATTCCGGCTACGGCGAATAGTACGGTGAGGAAGACGCTTAGGAGTGTAAAGATGGCTTCTTTCGACCATCCGGAGGTGGTAGCGCGTACATCTTGCGATACAGTATCTATCGAGTCTTATAAGCGCACAGCCATAGATCGCGGCTGAGAGTATGTTACCGTTAAAACCCATCGTTGGGTCTCGTATTCCACAACCGTTCTGAAAATCTGGGACGGAAATGAGTACTACTGAACGATAAAAGCTCTTTGAGTGGACAAATTTGCAAAGATGGAAGGCTCGGTTGATGTTTGACGCGACCGCCTTTCGAGATCAATTCATACAACAGCTTGATCTGGTGCCTCCACCGGAGAGTGCGGTTAGCATAAAGCATACGCTCGAATGTCGGTGATTGGCCATGTATGGTTGCTCCTGGCACGGACGGTAGTGGGGCTCTCGACACTCTGCTTTGCCAGGGCGTCATTACAGTAAGCGAACCTGGGTGTTGTATCTACCAGCGAATGAGAGGATCAGTCCACCCAACCAGA